AAGATAGAGGATTAGTAGCAGAAAGACATTTTATTTGAAATGATCAATATTGTATGCTAAAGTTTCTAAAGTACATCAAAACTAATACAGTTCTGAGATATATAATATTAAAAAAAGAGTAAATGATAATTTGTTTTAATAAAGGTCAATTTATTTATTTATTTAAATGAAAGTTTAACTCTATCAATTTCTAGATGAAATTAATGGCTTTACATAAAACAATAAATATATAAAAGAAATGTTATATTTATTAAGACAGTTATTTATATGCATTAGCATAGAAAAAAATGCTTTGTTGAAAATAAAAGAGTAAATATAAATAAGTAAATGGAAAATATTCTAGAGCAACAATAGCACAAAAAGCATAGTATTAAACAATAACAAGAATAGTAATACAATAATCATTCTAATATTAATATAGAAATATAATGTAATATCATATTACACTATCTTGCTATTATGGATTGTAAAAAAATTTAGGTAAAAAAATTAAGGTAAAAAAGTTTGGTTATGGAAATTTCTAAAGTAGTATAGAATAGCAAACAGATATAAATATATAAATAATAGATGCATATATAAATATATGGGCAATTTGATAGTATGTAGAGAAGTTTAGTTGATAATTAGTAATGTTTAAGTAATAAACAATAAGTAATATTTAAATAATAAACTATTTTATATTTATTAAAATAGATTAAATTATATAATGATAAAACTTTAATATTTTGACAATTAATAAGAAGATTGTATGAAAAATTTTAATTTAATTTTTAATTCCAATATTTTAATCAAAAACTGATTTGATAAGTTTTGTAAAAATATAAAAAAAGATCAATTTAAACCTATATATTCTAAAATAATATTTAGAAAGTATATTTTAATATTGGTACCCTTTAAACTTAAATATATAAACTGAAAAATATGATTATTTGTTACAAGTAATAAGAATATTATACAAAAATCTCCAAATTAAATATATCTAAAGAAAATTATTATAAATTTAAATAAAAATTCTAAACAAAAATGTTATAATTCCAAATAATAAAAAGGAATAATAATATAATATGCTAATTATATTTTCTAAAAACCATAATAACAAGTAATTGAAATAAATGAAATTAATTTCTATAATAATATCCTATAATGTGCTTTTCCTATGATAAATACAGTTAAAACTAAATTCAAAATGTTAGGTGGTTTAAACCAATAATAGGGTTTTCATTTCATGTTAGTTTCATCTGGTATGTAAGCTATCCTATGATATTAAAATTATATATAACTAAATATGTTACAGTTTTAAAAAGGATATTATTAACTAGAAGTAGTTTAATAGATAATATTAATCCTAATCTAAGATGAAGTGAAATATTTAATATAATGACTATAACTAATATATTAATAAGATATCTTGTATTTACTGTCTGTTGAAAATTTGAATAAATACATAAATATACTGTATAAGTAATATATTATAAAATTATAATTATATATTTTTATACTTTATTATATTTGTTTTTTACAAAGCAATTTGTATAAATAAAAACACAATACGCATAGTTTTTCCTTAATTAAAGAAAATTAAAAATAAAATTTATAATATAAGTTATTTTCAAATGTCTTATTATCACATATATCTAGTATCACAGTATAGTTCCCAGATCTTATATAAAAAAGCTGTTTATATTTAGACTAATTATTTATAAGTCTCGCGGGATTTAATGTCATGTTAAATACTTGATATATATTAAAAGTTTAAGAAAGGGGAAAAGCGAAAAAGATAAGAAAATTATGATCCAATAAATTTATACTGTTTAACACACATATATATATTACAATCAGTTTTTTTATTAAAATAAAAAAAATCTTAAATCAATAATACTATCGATCTTGCACCTACCATCGGGACATAAACCTTAAATATATAAGCAACTATTGAATTTTCCAATACATAGATAATTTTACGGTAGTTATTTTTACTCCTGAGCACCAGTACTGTAGGTAAATATATTTAGATCAAATGAACCGCATTGACCACTGCCACCTCCATATTGCTAAAAGCAAAAATGCATAAAATTAATTTACATATATGTTTCGAGAAAGTAATAGTTGCTATATAGAACCTTTATTTACCTTTCCGGAGGGAGCACTAAAACCACCAAATGCCATATCCTTCCAATCATCATAATTTGGTTGTAGAGGATTTTGAGGGTGCTAATAAATAAGTTTGGTTTAGGGTTAGGGTATAATTGGTCATTTTTCCAACACAATGAAAAACAACTTTTTATGAAAAGAAATAACTCGATTATGTGCATTTAAACATACCGCATACCAAACCTTGAACCTACTATCGACAACTGCTCCTGCGCTACCAAAAAGTGTTTCCCACTCCCCTTGTGACGAATAGATGCCCTTAAATTAAAAAATTAAAATGAGTATGGTAGTTAACTCTTGTGTCAAATGAAGTTCAAACACATACCCAGTTCCACTTTGTAGCTTTAGCAGCATCTGTAAATTGCTTTGCCAAGGCAAGATTACTTGATGCAGTTCCATCCCAACTCTTAGTGCAAGTTGTTGTATCTTTTTCAAAATCAATCCAAATTGTTTGTACAAGCATATTATTCTGGTTAACAAAGTCAACGAGTTCATTAATTTGTGTTTGAGGCGATTTGCAATTGTACGTGGATCCAGTACAGGGAAAGAAATAGAGATCGATATATTTGTAGCCAGCAGCGAGGGCATTCTTGTAGTTGCCATAACAGCTAGGAGCAATACTTCCGTGTACATTGCAGCCTTCACTAAAATTGAATAAAATAATAATTATTATTAAATATGAGAGTGAAAGGCATTGTTGTGCTCCTTACATATAACATTCTATGATGGCTCAAACAAAGCCCTGCTTCTTAGCACACGACCAACTGGAGGCTGATTGGACGCCTGCTGGGTCTCCAACATCAACGGCATAAGAAACTGCAATTGTTGGTGTTACCAAAGCAATTACTACAAAAATTATGCTCATAAAATTATTAAACTTCATTGTTTTGTTAAATGCCAAAAATTAGATTTGGTTTGTTTTATTTTTTTAGAATTTTAATTCTATTAAAAAAATAAATCTTTTTATGTTCGGATTCTTATTAAAATATAATATCGAAAACAATTAACAAGCTTCTTTTATATTTGTAATTATCGGAGCACATTATGAATTTTCCGAAAATTATCAATTCTGCTATCAGTCTTGCAGACGCAAAAGGCACAGGTTTAGAGAATCTCATTAATACATCTTTCCCACAAGTGCCAATCGATAAGATTATTACAACCAAACAAAATGACAAAGATACATAGCACCATGATCTTAAACAATAAATTTTGGATGTATGGCTAGGAAATTTTGTCGATAAATATATATTTTAATTTTTCTCACACGAATCTGTAGTTTACATAGAACGATTGGAGATGCAATATGAGAATGTGCCTAAACGCTTTTTTTAATCAAAATTTCATTCTTTCTATCCTTATAGCCGCTTTGTTATCAATCCCTCTTCCACTTTCAAATTTTACTACAAACATTTACTGTCATACTATCATCTTACTACTGTATATGCAAATTAGATTATATCGCTATTCATTTTAAGTTTGTGTTGTCTGAAAACTGTATCATTGTCTCTAAATATTCTTGGTTCGGAGTATTGAGAGCCGAATTCATGCAAGGTAAGTTTCTACAATAATAATAGTGCACATATTACATAGCTCATTCATAATATCTTTTTCAACATAAATTCGTTCTTTTTTGAGTGCCAAGAAGATTACTAAGCAAGCTTGAATACTGTGTGGCCAAACAATTATGAGAAAGCTTGAATACTGTGTGGCCTAACAATTAAGAGCAAGCTTGAATACTTTGTGGCCCAAATAATTAAATATTTTTTAGAATTATTTGTAAACAGATAACGTAGTGTACAGGTCAATTGACTCTATATTTTTATTAAAAATTCAATGAGCCTATATTTGTTAACAAGAGATTCCTAGGAAACTCGCTAAATTATAATCCTTTCCATCATAGGCACTTATAAAAGAGTGCATTGTTGATTCCTTATTCTCATATTACTTTATATTGTACACATTTGTATCGTACAAATTATATTCAGTACTGCATTCATATTGATAAGATAATAATCTTTGCGTGCTACAATCATGTGAATGATCAACCCAAATTTCTTTGTTTAAATACTGTAGTAGCCATAGTTAATAAAAACACGTACAGTAATGGGAGTATTAAAAATATTACAGTATTACCAAATTGTTAATGCCGGTAAATTTTCCGACAACTTTCTTACTTATTCTATTGCAAATTTCTAAACTCGTTACATTATATGTTAATAATAAGTCTAAAAGTGCTTGTGATAAAAATTTTATGGCTAAAATATTTTGCTGTTTCTTCAATTGATTGTATCATAGGACTCGATTATTGCAGTACAAGATAACTCGATTATTTGCATAAAGAAATTTCTGTGGCATGTCTGATTTCTTATGTGTTTATGGTTTAAAAATATATTTGTTTTTTTTAGTTTATTTGCAGAACAGTTGAACGTAATAATAACCTCTTAACTGTTGAATGTTTTTATTTTTATTATAATCTATTTAAACTTGTCAGTTAACATAATATTTATGAACAATTGTTTGTTTTTTCTTGCATTGTTTTAATTTTTATCTAGAATATAATAAAAAAAAATGTATTTTATTTGTAATTTAATGAAAAAATTATATTTAAATCTAATTAAAATTTTAGTATATTTAAACTAATACTTATAATTGATTTTACTAGGTTGTTTTATTTTCCTATTATTTTAATTTAGAAATTTTAATATTTTATTTAATTTTTTTATTAAATTCTGCTTTATGTGTATTTTTTAAAATAAAAATAAACCTTTGTTTGCTTATTACTTTTTTTAAAAAAAAATTTTAAAGAAACACTTCATAATTTTTTTACATACAATATGGGACAAAAATAATGGCACTTTTTATTTTTGTTATTATTTAATAAATATTTATTTAAATTAAATAAAA